TCGCTATGATGCACACTGACCACCAGGGGGCAGATACTCAACACAGGAGCTGCCATGACATGCACTGGCCATTTACAAAGAAATGGCACCGTGGACCTGGTGCCCACAAAGCAACACTCTGCTTCCCCCAAGTGGGACACAGGCCCCGCCACCACCTTGGAGTGACAGCCCACCAATTCACAGCCAACACTGCCGAGAACCCATGGCCCAAAATGTGGCCCACAGCCGAGCCCAGCTTCCTCTCCCTAGCAACTAGCCTCCTTGCAGTTTCTTCAACCGAGGAATACAACTTGCTTTATAGCCAAGTGGAAACATTTTACATTTTAACCAAATGTCTATGAAGCGTTTTCCCGTGCCTCATCTCATTTCATCTTCACAGAAATCCTAGAGTAGGTAGATAGGAGACTCGTGGAATCCTATTTTCTTTTCATTAGCCAGAAAACGGAGATTTAGAAAGCTTAGAAACTTGACCCGACTGAAAAGAAATAAGAAATGGTGGACCTTGAAAATGACTTCAGGTTTTCTCACTGCACAGAATACAGTCAAACACTTACTGCAGTTAAATATTTTACCCTCGAGGGCACAAATTTTTGTGCACCCGGCCTCTAGTATATATATAAAAGGCTAAGTGACTGGCCATATGTCCAACGCACACTGGCTATAAAAAGCTAAACGTTGACTCACGCATGTGTGATACATATAAAGCTCTCGCTGGTGCCAATCGCACTCATGTGTTTCGATCTGTCATTGTCAATCGTGAATTTGGTTGACAGTTCTATTATAGATAAAGGGCGAATAGTGATATTAAAATATTTCTTCTAATTTCCTTTCAATGTGCATGAATCCATGCACCAGGCCACTAGTCCTATATAATAAAAGGCTAATATGCAAATTGTCCCCTCAACCAGGAGTTCGACCAGGGGACAGGGCCAGTCGGCCAACCACCTGCAGCCCCTACCTCCGGCCAGCCCCTTCCGCGATCGGCCCCCTCTACCCAATCAGGGGTGGGGCCAGCCAGCCAACCACCCGCAGCCCCTCCCCCTGTCTAGCCCACCCTGATTGGTCCCGATTGGGGCGGGTCAGCTGGACCCCACCCATGCACGAATTCGTGCACTGGGCCTCTAGTCTATAATAGCTGTTGCATATTTTCTGTGTATTTTTTAAAGAGATGATGTTCCAGCTATTTATTCTTTCTGAGAATCTATTTCATTGTATCCCAAAGAACAAATTAATTTTATTATATTTCTGTTCTAATGTTTATTTCTATTTCATTGTATCCCAAATAACAAATTAATTTTTAATTACTGTGTTTTATTTAGGTGATAGGATAAATTTTCAGGCATTAGCTTTCAAAATGTTACTAACATCCTAATAGGAAATTGTTAAATTTGTCATAAATTTATAAATTTTCCATCAGTTCTCAGAAAGTTTACCTTTATAGTTTAATAGATCACAAAGTACTTCTTTAGCCAACAGAACTCATTTATTTCTTATTTTTTTATTTCTTTCTCTGTAAGCTAGAAATGCAAGGCATCAGGTTGGACTTTTTTCAAGTTGAAAAATTAGAACTTAACCATTCTCTAAGGCATGTTTGTTTTCCTATTTCCTATTTTTGCTAATTTTTAAATTTCAGTATTTTCACTGAAAATTATTGTAAATGGAAGTAACCATCATGATTTTTTATATAATGTTCTCACAAATGTTTCAAGGAAGATCTGAATGTTATTGGATACTTTCAATATATTGACAGTTATATTTGCAGCTGATCCCTCTGACTATCTGATAAAAATGGCAGTTAGGAAATAACTTCCAGTATTAGGGAAATATTTTTTTCATTGTAATAATTGAGTGGGTAGTAATATTAATGGGTCTGACATAAGTGTTTTCTTGCCTAGATCTGTTTAGTCAAATGCCTGTTGCTTTTGCAGAGCTCCAGATCCTTTCCTTCAGCTATTCATTAAGAAAACCAGGTATTTGTTGAGAGCTGATTATGTGCCAGGTGCTAGATAAGTACTGAAGATGAAGTAGTGAAAGTCAACCTGGTCCTAGACAAATAACCCAGCTCTTACGGAACTCTCGAGAATTCTGTTTACCCAGGAAAGTGTGTTCACGCAGGCATGATCTGCCCAACACCACAGCAAATGTATAAAACAGAGATCCTACGGTGTTATGTAGCACAGCACAGCTGTCCTTTGCCAGGAACATTTTGGTTTTCCACTAGTGGCCTGGGAGTTGACCTCTCAAGATAATGAAGGCATGCTGATGCCATCTCAGTTTTCCACTTGACCCGAATTGAACTCTGCTGTATCCAGGAACTGTTTTCAATGTTTTCCATGTACTAATTACTCTTCTAGAAATTCTATGAGGTAGGAATTATCATTATCCCCATTTTACAGCTGATGAAACAGGCCTGCTCCCAGTCTAAGTGATGAGGCAGTGGGTGGAAGACCCAGGATTTGAACCCGTGACTTCTGGCAGTAGAGACCAGGCTCGTTATTAGTCTGTGCTGCTTCACATGTTTGTGGAACAAAACACATAGTTAAGGGTCTGTATGGACTGGTGTGAAAGTGAAATTCATTGACTCGTAATTGTAAACAAGTAGTGTAAATTGTGTACTTTTTAGCTGGTAGTTTTGGTCCTATGTAGACATCCCACTGAGATTTGTGATCAGATGAGATGCTTCAGGATTGCTTTCTCATACAGATGTTTTGTTAGTTATATTATCTCAATAGCAGTGCTTATCTTATGCTTTTTGAAACCAGGATCCCAATGCTTACATGTGGTTCCATCAACAGAAAAAAATGGAATCTTTTTCAGTGTTTGTCTTTTGGGTGGTGTATTTTTCTACTCTGCTTCTAAGAATGTTGTAAGAAAGATCTCTAAAAATTTTGTTCTTTATATGAAACATTTTTGTGTTAAGAAATTTAATGTATATATATATATATTTTTAATCCTCGCCCAAGGATATTTCCTCCATTGATTTCTAGAAACAGTGGAGGGAGGGAGGAGAGGAAGAGAGAGAGAGGGAGAAACATCAACGTGAAAGAGACACATTGATTGGTTGCCTCCCACAAGCACCCCAACAGGGCTGGGGAACCTGCAACCAAGGTACATGCCCTTGACTGGAAATCGAACCCATCACCCTTCTGTCTGCAGGCCGATGCTCTAACCCAGGGGTCCTCAAACTTTTTAAATGGGGGGCCAGTTCACTGTCCCTCAGACCGTTGGAGGGCCGGACTATAGTTTAAAAAAAAATTATGAACAAATTCCTATGCACACTGCACATACCTTATTTTGAAGTAAAAAAACAAAACTTCAAAAAAAAGGCCTTAATAACTGGAAAATAAAAAAAAATAGACCTCCTAACTTCAAAAAAAAAATAAATCCTAATTTGTTCTTACCTCGGTCCTCAGGCAGCAGCAGGCTCTGTACAGGCAAGCTTGTGACTCATCCTATCACACCCAAGACTGAGAGGAGGAATCGAGGGGAGTCAGAGAGTGCAGCGCACATTCCACACATGCGCACTGCGGGCCTGGGACAAGTCGGCTGCTAAGCAACTGGCAGCGGCAGCAAAAACACCCAGTAGGCCCGATAAATGTTTTCAACAGGCCGCATGTGGCCCGCGGGCCGTAGTTTGAGGACCCCTGCTCTAACCACTAAGAAAACCAGCCAGGGCACTTTTTAAAAAATATTTTCAGAACTAAAATTCATACACTCAGGAGAAAAATAAGACCATGCTTCAAACCAGAGATAGAGTGGTTCTGCTTTTAAACCTTAATATTTTTCTTAATATTGTTCTATCACATCTCATTAATCCACATGATTTGTTGCATGTCAAAGATGAATGGGGAAGCATTCAAAGAGATTATGCCTGCTCTCACTTTATGGGTTTGGATTTGTAAAACAAGACCAGCCATCACTTCTCATTTTCTTGGATGCATCCAGCCTGTCCCCCCAATAGGAATGTCATAGATGATTGCTCAGTCTTAACACCAGGGTATCCCTAGGAGTGATTGGTGAAATTACTGAGAGTTGTGATATAAAAGCATAAACCATTGAGTTAGTATTATTTTTTTATTTTATAGGTGCTGTATATATTTTATTTAACTACTTATGAGGTCAATGTAAAGAATTATATTAAGTACAAAAAGGTAAAGAAATAGAATCCAGTCAGCCCTCTGCATTCACAGGTTTCATCTCCACGGGTATGGAGAGCAAACTACAGCACTTGAGCATCCTCATTTTGTATCTGTGGGGGTTCCTGGAACCAATCTCCTGTGGATACCAATGGATGACTGTACCTACCTTCAAATATTGTATCTCCCTGACCAAATGACTAATGTATTAATCTCCTTACTTAAGACTTAGGTTTTCAAATTAACTCCAACCTTTCTCTTAGAGTCAGAATACTTATGTATTGTACTTATGCTCTTTGAATGATACATAGTCAACAAAACCAAATATATAATATTTTTGATCTTTGAATAATAAATACTACACAGGTGAACTTTTTGGTTATTTGATTTTTTTAGAATGAGTCATCACTAGTTCCAAGTACCTTGGTCTTTCCTGATGCCCACAGACAGATGAGCCTGCTTGTGTCCAGAACCCAATCTAAGGAAGTCCCGTAAAACATACCATCCCTCTACTTCTTTTCACCCTGCTGTTTGTCCGCATTCACAGTTAAAGCCTACACGAAACAGTTGCAGCAACAGAAGCTTTTCTTAAAGAGCCTATGTTTGTCTCTTTTCAACATCCTAAACACCATTTGAAGACAACAAAATAATGGTTAGAATAGCATTTCCTTCCTCAGAGAAGG